AGGTACGAGCTGCCAAGCGTCTGCCTAGAAAATCCCATGCATGCTCGATAGAATTGAGATCCGGAGATCGTGCCGACCAATCCATACGTTCAATATCCTCACTCTCTAAGAGCTGTTCGGCAGCTATTGTGCGATGACATGGTGCATTGTTGTCCATAAAAAGGAACTGCGGACCCATAGCGCCTCTAAAAAGACCCACATATGGAAGAAGAATCTCGTTACAATAACGGGTCCCGTTGACTGAACCTGTGTCGAAGATGTGAAAGTCTGTACGACTACCAAGCATGATGCCTCCCCAAACGAGAACACCGCCACCTCCATACCTGTCCCTTTCAATGATGTTCGAGGTATGATTGCGGCTTCCCCGCTCTCTCCATATGAGTATGCGATGAGAATCGCTACTCAGACTGAATCTGCTCTCATCTGTAAAGAGTACTCGTCCCCATTCATTGTCTCTCCAATTCCGGTGTTCCCGGCACCACAGAGAACGCTTTCTCCGATGGGCAGACGTTAGAGGTACACATCGTACAGGGCGTCGTGCAAACAGACCACCACCGTGCAGTCTTCTGGACATGGTAAAACGCGATATCGGTCGTCCAGTCGTCTGTGTCTAGCGATTTCTCCCGCTGTCTGATGCCTGTTTCTTCTGGCCTGTAAGGCAATATACCGGTCATCTGCGGGTGTGGTTCCTCGTGGACAACCACTACTAAACCCCCGGATAGCTGTTCCTGTAGTTTGAAATTGTCTCCAAAGTCGTGAAACGATGCTGTGAGCAATTCCGAACTATGCAGCCACACTTGTCACACTGCGGCCTTCCTCCAACTTCCCAATGATTCGACCTCGGGTAAAAGCATCCAGATGTCGTCTAACAGATTGATTATTCGCCATTTCTCGCTGAGGCAGCAACTCGGTGTGATTTTAACTGTTATACGGCGTGCAATCTCTTTGCCAGAAATACTGATCTTACACCGACAACATGCTTTATACTACTCAGACACTCCCCCATTACGTCTACCTGCATATCTCCGCATGTGCTACCGTACATCACCTTACTTAATCTCCTGAATGGTCTTTCTGTCCGCTCTGCCTCTTCGTTCAGCTGATATGCTAATTTTTCGACTTCGTCCTTAATTTTTGCACACCAGTGTATAATAAATTTAATTAACGTTGAGGAGCTAAAATTTTGCCAGGTAATTTCTTTGAAAAACTACTCGTGCGATTTTTACAAAACTTGGCAGTTTGGCATAATGTGAGTCTTAGAATCGAAATATGGAAAAAATCCATATGTTATTTCAGAAAAATTCCGACTTTGTGTCAGAATACTTTTGTTAGAACAATGCTATATGTAAATCTAATATATTTCTGCTTTTCAAAAATGAAAAATGCAAGATAAATTTCGTCAATCGGCCCAGTAGAACGAGAAATATAGAACGGTCCCTTTTTTACCTCCTTGTACGAAGTAAAGGAAGTATTGTAATCACGAAAAATTCCACGTACCATATTTCAACGAAAATATCCATGATCGCTATCGAAGGCAATTTAACGATGTTTTTGCGTGACATCTGTACATAAGGACAGAATAAAGAACTCCTTTTCCCCACACGAATTATAAAACTGATTTAAAATGGATTTAGAAGAGATTTTTTGTGGCGTCTGTACGTACGTATGTATGTATGTATCTCGCATAACTCAAAAAAGAATAGCTTCAGAAGTTGAAATTTTGTATATGGGACTGCTATAACATGTAGATGTGCACCAATGGGCTGCACCAAAAGTATATAAATGTACAGGGTGTCCATAATTAAACTTAAAATTTGCGAGCTGTCTCTGGCAAAAACTATACAGCGGAACTGCATGAAAATTGGGTAATGGCAGAAATGACATGATGGGAATTTTATCGAGGGGGGGGAAAACAATGAGTTTCAATAACCACCCCTAGGTGGCGTATCATAGCTTTATTGAGAACATATAAATAATCTACTAAAGTTTACAAAACATGCTCAATATGATGTCCACCATTGTCTGCTACCACCTGGAAGCTTAAAATTGCATGTTCGACTGTTGAATGCAGCATGAACTGGGGAATGTTACGCATATGGCGTTCTATGCTTTCTTTAAGATCGGATAGAGATGTGATATGATTACGGTAGACCATGGCCTTTAGGTATTCCCACAGCCAAAAGTCACAAGGACTTAAGTTGGGGGATCTATGAGGCCAAGCTGTAGGAAATTGTCGGCTGATGATTCTGTCGTCACCGAAATGGCGGCGGAGCACTTGGTTCACCCAACGGGCGATGTGTCGAGGAGCACCATCCTGCATAAACGCTGTGGTTGTATCACATGCTTTGCCTGAAGAGCCGTAATAACGGATTGCTCTAATAATGAAGCGTATAGTTGACCGGTGACGATGCATGTCACAGGCCCTGCGGCGCTGTGCTCTTCGAAAAAAGCAGACCAACAATGAAGGTTGCAGTAACACCGCACCAAACCGTTACACGCGAAAAGTGTAATGGAATTTGTAGCAATTAATGTGGGTTTGTAGCGGCACAGATATTGTGCGTGTTAACTGCATCTTCCATATGAACGTGGGCCTCGTCGGTCCACAAAATGCTCCATGGCCATTCATTCTGGAACTCAACTCGCGCAAGAAATCGCAATGCAAAAGTTTGTCGACTATCCAGATCAGCTGGTAAGGAGTTGCTGAACTAGGGACAGTTTATAGGGATAGTAGCGTAAGACCTTTTGAAGAATCGCATGGACCGTGGAACGAGATTGGTCAATAATTGCTGCAGTACGCCGAACACTAGTGCTACCGATAGTTTGCGATCTGTCTTCCTCCACCTGCGTTACTACATCATCCACTACCTGTGCTGCAACACACTTTCGACCCCTTCCTGGCTGAATCCCCAATGTTCCCGTTGCTTCAAATTTCCTAATCATGTTTGTTAGTCCTTGACTAGTGAATGGACCTTTTCGTAACCGCCCCTTATAGACCGAAATTTCCACAAAGCTTCGGCAGCAGAGCCTCCGTTTTGGTAAAACAATTTCACCAGTAAAGCACGTTCCTGGAGAGTCAAAGTCATCTTCCTTGACTTAGAAACTAGTACGACTGTGGTTCGGCTCTCGCATCTTTATAAGGTTCCTGTGCGCGCACAGGATTACTAAGGTTACGACATTTGAATATGCCCACAGTTTGCATTTCAAAATGCCATCTAGTGGTAGTTTTTGAAACTCATTTTTTTTCCCCCTTTGTTACAATTCCCATCATTTCATTCTGCCATTATCCAATTTTCACGCAATTCTGCTGCATGGTTTTTGCTGCAGACTGCTCACAAATTTCAAGTTTAATTATAGACATTCTGTATATACATATATATATATATATATACCCACTCTGTTATTCGGCTCAGTGAGCTCAGTTTCTTTATTCTTATATGCTTGTAATTGTGAATTTTTTTGCTTTAAATATGATCGAATTACATTGTTCTTATTTCCGGTTAAGGTTTTTGTGCCTTTAGTTAACCTGCATGTTATAGTTATAGAATTATCAACAATTTAGTTACAAGTAACAAATTAGACTTAGCCGCACTTAAAACAAGTTGTTTAAGTGCGGCTAAGCCTAATTTGTTTACCATAGCAGCCCTATTTGTTTCTATTTGAAACTTAGCGGATCTAGATAAACTGAGCTTCGCAGCAATAAAGTAACGCTAAAAGTAAAGTTTCAGTTTTGCGCACCGAAAAATGTGTCTTCTTGCACGCTGGCCGAATTTCTTGTTTTTGGGTAGAAACTGTAATTTTAATTGTAAAAATTGCTTTTTTTTAATTTTTTAAACTGTAGTTAGTATTTCATGTTTTTCTATATCTTTAAATTTTTAATGAAGATATTTTGTGTTTTAATTATTTTTGCCTTGCCGCGAAGTAAGAACTGAATTAATTGAATGAGATATACATCTCTAAAGAAATTTTCGAAGAAATAAGTGTTTCATATTAGCAGAAAATCCTGTCGCCTCTCTGTTTCGGACAGAGGAGAATGGTTACGAATAGCGCATGCGCAGTAGGTAAGCAGCGCTGAATTGGCTGTGAAAAACTGTTTACTTTTTATTTGTTTAATTTCTTTTACACATAGTTTTAGATTTATTATAACATTTGAATAGAACATCTGGTAAAGATTACATAATTCCTCAGATGATATATATATATATATATATCTACCGCTTCTTTGGTTTTGTATTTTTGCTTAGGTCATTTGTCGCACTTTAATTCTAATGTTTTAAATATGCCTTAGTTTGATCAGCATATTGCTTACAATTAGTATTGAATTTTATTTGTAAATATTCAAGTGTTTATATTGTTTATTTAATCTTTATTACATATTTCATAGCACTTTATTTTACTTATGTTAATATTTTCACGGAACCACAGTATCTAAACAACTTTTTAGCGTACGAACTAGGAATTTTCTTTAACTTTTTTCTAAATTTTGCAGCTCAATGCGCAAAGTTTTTGATCGCATAGGTCTTTTATCGTTTCTTCTTTTTTCTTTAATTATATATATATATATTTCATTTTGAATTATAAAATGAATGAGATGTAACGCTGTTTGAATGAACCTAGCGCCAGAGTATCCTTATGATAAATAAGTAAGTGAATTGTAAATGCGCATTTATTATATTGTGGTTCACGTGCTGTTGAGAAAGTAGATTTAATTCAATAAATTTAAATAAAATGCAGGAAAAAATGCGTATAATTTCATCTTCCGTACAAAGAAGTCATGTGGTGTGTACATCAGGTTTTTTTTTTTTTTTTTTATTTTTTTTATTTTCGTGTGTGAGTGCAATGTGTACCTGGAATATTCGTTTCTTTATTAGTTTCGGACAGCAATAACTTTATCTTTTTTTTTTTTTTTTTTCAGATTTTTTTGTTTACCTTCAAACAACTAAAATTAATAGGATCTGTTTTCTTTTTCTTACTGAAACCTATCTTACTTATCCCTATTTCAGGTAATCCAAGAAGGGAAGGAAATTTTGGAAGCAAAAGAAAGACATATTAAGCTTGGTCAATATTCTGAAAATAAAAACAAAATATTTTTCGAAATATTATTGGAAGAACTTGCTAAGGATAAAAATTTTACATACAATGATATTGTGGAAGAATCTATTACCTTCATATATGCAGTAAGTTAGCTTCCGGTACTTTAACCATGCTCATATTGCTTCCAATGTATAGCGCGGTAATATGTAATTTACGACTTTTTACCTTGGTAGAAATGCGTTTTCATAAGCACATGGTATGCAACTATAACAACAAAATAAGAATTTTGCACATAACAAAAATTTCTTCAATTATAAATGAATAATGCAGGTTTATCAATTAATAATAAATCGATGTATTACTTTATATGGGTAAACTTTATAGCTTAACCAGCTGCAACTGTCCAAGTTTTTAGTGAATTAATTACAATCCTTCAATATGTGCATTTCCGCTTACACGGCACACGTCTACACGGGAATCAATTCTTGCCGTACTCGGTGTGGTATGTTCGCCGAGACGTCTGCATTGCATGCTTTATCCGACCACAAACTTCCTCAAGCAACACAAGCATTGGCGGTACATAAACTGGGTCTTTAACAAAAACCCAAAGAAAAAAATCGCATGGTGTTAAATTCGGCGAACGGGATGCCCAGGGGAGAAGGTTGTTTTCTGTTCTTGCAATACGTACAACCCAGCGTTGGTGCACAACACGGTTAAGAATCTCTTGTACATTCCTGTGAAAATGAGGCAAAGCACGGTCCACTTGAAAAATGTAATCATCATAGTTAGAGTTATCATTAATGTTTAGCTAGGGTAACAGCTAAGTTTCCAACATTTCTAGAAATGAGTCACCGATCAAAGTTTCTTGTTTGAAAATGGGCCGTGCACTTTCTAGCGTGACACCGCATAGAAAAACGTGTATGAAGCTCATGCTGCATTGAAACCACAGATCTGGAGCACGCAGAAAGCCTCTTTCTGGTGCGGCAACATCATGGAAACAGACGCTGTAGCGGCGCAGTAAACATGACAAGCAAACAGCAGGTAGCACATGAGAAGCTTGGACATTATCCAATGCTTATGGTATACATTTTGCATGGATAAGGTAATGCATAGATTTATAATTCATTTTGAAAACGGCACCATTCATATATAAATACCCTGTATTTTAAACTAAAGTAAAATTTAAAGGTAAAATTAAGTTATAAGCATCATTATAGAAAACTGCTCACATGTAGGAAGAGCTAGAGGAAAAGTGTAACTTACTTAGTTTACAGTTGAATTTCTAGGGGCTGAGACCGATAGTGTGCCGTAGTATAGCCGCAGAGCTTTAAAAATCTTTACAATAAACAAAACTGGACCTACAAGACTTTATTAAAGGTGATAGATTTTTGATAAGGAGAGAAGTTTCAAGAAAATCTAAATTAACAGTTGAAGAATACACTTATAGGGATGAGTTATTTTTCAACGGAATCTAAATTAAAAAGCATTTGACAAAGAAATAATGATAAATAATGAAATAATCATCTATTTATCGTTATCTGACATAAAGGGCGTTAATTCGAAATTATAATATTATATGAATTTGACTAAACCGTATAAATTATCCAAGAATGAAAATTCGAAATGGTGTTCGAATAGCAAATGTTATTAAAAAGTTAGGATATAATTTCGAAATTTAACTTACTGAGATTTCAGCTTATTTTGTTCCAAATGAAAGCAGAAAATTAAATTATTGTGATGGATTTTAAGAGCAGAATATACATTTAACATTCCCATGGATTATCCAGATTTATTAAAATTTATTTGGATTGATGTCAGTAAGAATTTTGGAAAAATATAGACATGACACATTTTTTACGTGTTTTAATCCTTATCTATCTACGCCTGCGTTTAATACTCAACGATTTAGTCTTTGGATCTCTCTTTTACTATTCTTTTACCAAGCAATTTTAGCCTTTCTTATAACAAGCATATTTCTTTAGGTTTAGGTTTACTTAGTTACGACAAAGCACACAAGGGCTATCTGCCTAGGGGGAGAGATGTCTTCGTAGAGGACTTTCCAAGGGAAACTGGCTTGTATACACGTTACACATAATTATCTCTTTTAATGGAATTTATTTTAATTTCGAGCATGAGCAAAAAAAAAAAAAAAGTTTTGGAAGTCTGCTTTTCCTAAATACACAGCAATGCGCAATATAATTAATTAATTAAGCTCCCTTAATTAATTATTCATTAAATGCTACCCATTTTCTAAAAAGCAAAGAGACAAAAATAATTCTTTGAAAAATGTATCACAGCAAATTAAACAACAGCATGTGCTTGTTACGGATTTGTTTAATAAAAAACATGCTCAGTGTCGGGGGGGGGAAACAACTAACGCCCGCAAATGAAAGTTCCATATATATATATAACGAAAGATAAATAAATAGATAGATACACAGATATACCATGTCGACAAAACTCCTTACCTAGCTTTTATTTTCGCAACCGCTGGTCATTCACATATGCTTCCAGTTATAAAAATATTTTAAATGACGTAAAGATTCGATTTTAAATTATGTGAAGTTTTGGTATTTTTAAATTTAAAGAAATCAAATTTGCAGCAATTGCGAAATCCAACTTTTGACACTTTCCTCTTTTGCCTCTAATTATATTAAGAGAAAAATTTTGTATAGTTGGAGTAAAAATTAAAATACAAAACATTTGACGCCTGAAACGACAAGAATTGACCGATTGATATTGAAATCAGGAATCATATTTGAGGACCTTAAACAAACTTATGAATGAAGTTTTTGCTTTTATACCTAAACTAAAAATAAAATATCGCTTATAAAATTCTTTTGGTATTAAAAGCCTACGTGGCGAGCATTTCTATACATATCATTATAAAAAATATTGGTAAATATATTGGTAATTTTTGTTCTCAAAAAGGAGATCTTATTCATAGAATATTACTGAATTCATGCTCCAGAAAACACTGGCAGGCTTCGCTATTGATATATAGCCAATCAGTAATATTATTTGCATTAATTAAAAATATTTTGTGTTTATATGAATTTTTTTTACGTTTATCAGATTATAATTCTAAAGTAATAAAACTTCACGCTAATATTAATAACATATTTTTATACTTATAAATTGCTTAACTTATAAATTATATATGTAAGAATCAGAAAAAGTTTATCACTGAACGGCATTTGCAGGAAAAAAAAATCAACCTCGAATTATATTAATTTATTTATTAACCGACTCTTCAATGCAAATTAAAAATGACACCAAATACGACAAATTTTGAAATTAAATATTTCGCTCAATTTTTTCCATAAGGGAGTCAAAAAATTTTTATAGAGTACAAAGTTTTCCAAACTATAAGTACAGAGACCAGATAATATTATATAACTAACAATAAGATAATTAATAGTCTTATGTAAGTTTTTGACTTTAGAAGCATAATATAATAGTCATGCAATAAATTCATTAAACTAGAAATATTTTCATTCTTTATTTATGCAAATATCTCTGTGAGTTAAATATGTGCCAGTGTCTAAGCCTGATTCTTAAACATGAATTCTGTTCGATTATGTTAATAAAATCTTCATTTGGGAAACATTTCACGATAAGTACTTTTCAAAACAATTTGCATAACAATATTCGTCATTTAATATATTAACAACATTTATTTTTTTAATTTATATTTTGTTTTTATTTAAGTGCAAATTCAAGCATTTCCATCTTTCGTATGATCCCTGAATATGACCTGAGAGTAAAAATATCCTCAAGTTTTATTGTAAAAAGAAAAAAAAAAAAAAAAAAAAAAAAAAAAAGAAGAGTTAAAGGTTTTGTAGTTTATTGTATAGAATAAGTATAAATGTTTACTAATATAATTAAAGGACTGAATATAATGTTAGATTTCTAAATTTTGAGAAAAATTTCGTTTTAAATTTAAAAATGCCATAACAGGAATATATTTTTATTTAAAACATTCCTGTAATTAGAAGTGTATGTCTACGACTAAAGGTAATGGAAACAATGCCTTATAAAGACTTCTATGGATGGGATGCGTACAAATTATTTGATTACTTAAACACATACGCATTTTTTAAATGTATGAGAATCCTAATTTACCAAATACGTATTAAACTAAATTTTCCTTTCTAACAGGGATTTGATACATCAAGCTCTGCTTTAAACTGGGTTCTTTGCCTATTAGGCCTACATAGCGACATTCAAGATAAAGTATTCCAAGAATTATATTCCATATTTGGAGATGATAAAACAAGAGAGGTTACGATTCATGATGTGAAGAACTTGGTATATCTAGAACAAGTTATTAAGGTATAGCCCTTTTTAAGTTCAAATATTACTTTTATAACTTAGTCGCATCTCAAATTCATTCTGCTAGTTTTATTCATAATTTAATATGAATTAATTTGTGAAGGATATTTCAAAAAAATTGCATGGATTAATATTAACTAATTGATTAGTCGCTGATACACGACCTCAGTCTTAAAAATGTCGCCTTGTTTATTTGAAATAACAAATCTAGTGAAGAAAATTCGCCTTATGAGGGTATATGATTGAGGAAAATTTATTTTAAAGGAAATTGTGGTATTTGCATTACATACGACGAAAATCCGAAAACCTTCGTGCAACTAGTTTGTTTGCATGGATTCGAGCACAAGTCCAAGTAACAATGCTGAATAATTTTACCCATTCGGCTACATTTGGGCGATTTGAGAAATAAATACAAATATGGTATGCATTGGGTCCAAAGTAGTCATGTATCTTGTAGATTTAATCTTTCTAATGGGATCGCCTGTTCTTCGCCAGATTTTTGCTGTGCGGTTTTTGTCTTTTATTTTCTCAATGATGTGGTCGGGGAGCTTGTCTTTCTTATAATCTTTGAATTTGGTGGAATCATCAAGGGCTTTCTTAATTTTACTATTGATCTTAGTGATATTGTACTCAATGTCTACAATATCGGCAAGAGCCGAGTGTGCAGGTAATTGTTCCAGAGAATTATTGAATTTCTGCCAGTTTATAATTTTCTTTAAAGGCAAGGTCTTCTCAGAGCCATGATAAGTAAATTTAACAGGGAGATAAAAAAATCAATAAAAATGTATTATATATATATATATACATATACATGACAATGAAATATGCCGATTTCTTAAAAACAGTGACATAAGAAATACGATGAAAAATTGTTGCCAAACCCTTATTTCTAAAAGAATGAAACTATTCAAAATGATGCGATTTCATCAAAAATATATCAACAACAATAAGACAGGAAAATTGTTGCCAAAATCACATTTTTAAAGATGTGAGATGTGCGAAGTGTACTCGGAAGCTTCATTTAAACATATTTTTAAAAGTACAAAATATTATCAGTTTTCCAAAATTTTTTTGTAAAAGCAGTCGCAAGGATGAATGTTTAACGTGTCCAAAAATCAAAGAAAAATAAACTGTACATTTTTAAAAATAAACTTTTTTAGAAAATATCCCGTTGAAAATGTGTTAAGCTCACTTTGTTAAATAAATTCGTATTTAATCGATTTATTGAAACACGAAATCCCATTATGTCTCAAAATGACGCGATTTCGTCACAAAACATAAAATTAAAAAAATTCGAATTCGAATTTCGATTGCTTCGAGATGCACTGGCTCTTGTCTAGATGCAAATTTCGTAGCCGTGGGTCTATTAGCTGACGCGCAGCGCGAACGAAAGACACACATACAGACACACAGACAGACTCTTTTTTTTTATTATATGTAGAGATTGGAATCGAACCGCGTACGTCTCAATTACGCGCTGAGCGTGCAGACCACTACACCACGAAGGCTCGCAAAAAGGCGGGAGTAATAGCTTATATACTCTCCCTTTTAAAGAGCGACTGAGCGTTTCAGGGGACCCAATCGCCAAATCCTTAGTGACGAGAATCCTCATCCAACACCCTTTTAGTTCGGGAGCCACTGTAGAGTCATTAGGATGTTTTGGAAGCAGGCAAGATGAAAAATATGCAACACCTTCGCCGGGAATCGAACCATCGATCTCTCAATGACGAGTTGAGGGTGCAGACCACAAAACCACGAAGGTAGGCCAAGAAGGTGGGAGAAATACTTTATATACTACCCATTTTAAAGAGCGACTAGGGCTTTTGCCAAATCCTGGGTGAGGAGAATCATCATCCAACACCCTTTTAGTTCGGGCTAACTAACTGTCTAAAATTTCAATTAGTTCTTGATTAGTTTTAAATGCAAAATCTAACTTGTCTCCAAAGGATAATTTTAATTTCCAAGTTATAGATTAATTTTTAGTAATGTAATGAATCAGTTAATAAACGTGAAAACACTTTTCATTCTTGCCTTTTCATCTTACAACTAATGCAGTTCTGAGCTTTTTGATTATTTAGGAAACTTTGAGACTATACCCATCGGTACCCATCATAGGGAGAGAAAACAAGGAAGTTATTAAAATCGGTGAGTTGTCTATTTTATTTACAGCTTTATTTGTATTTCATTGTGATAACCTTAAGAAAAATGCTTGCAAATATGGGTTTAAATTTGCTCGTTATTTCCTGAATAAGAGATTTCGAATTGCTCCAGCGTGTTCTATTTTTTAATTCAAAAAATCTGATGTGGATACCACATGTTATTTTTATGTTTAGAAAATAGTTTAGCTGATAATTATTCTAAAAAAATCTGTGTTTATACCACATTGACTTCCTTGTTTGGAATATTAAAATATGCGCATTTTTTCTGTATTTAATTTAAACTTATTTCCTCGAGTATGTATCATTGTTTAATATTTCTCATTCAATTAATTCAGTTTGCGACAGAGCAAAAATACATAAAAACTCAAAATACCTTCATTAAAAATTCTAAAATAGAGAAAAACGTAAAACATCAGCTGCTAAATGAGTTTAAAAATTTTTTTAAATTAAAATTAGAATTTATACTCAAAAAATCATAATTAACAAATTAAAAATAATCCTGTAAATGCAACAAGAAAAGAGGAGATTTCAATAATATATTTATACGGAATCAATAATATACTATAAACATACGGAATCGGAACTGAATTTGGTGATCCTCATAATCAGGTATGTAGGTTCCAGAACAAATAGTACCACTCTTTTCTGTACTCTGTGTTATTATGTTTTCATAGCTCACTTTTTAATGCTCTACATATTTTTGTTTTCAAGTAAGAGCAATAACTAACCATTTTTCCTTTCTCTGCGCTCCGTAATTATTTGTTTACTATACATAAAAGGAACTTCAGGAAACAAACTCATTGGAAGAGAATAAAACATTGCTCAAGTACTATCAGATAAGAGTCAAAAACCATATCGAAAGCTTGAGAGTATTCTAGCTCTTGCCTAAGCTCTCACAGTTTGTGCAGCTGCCTCACAATGTACCAATCAATTGTATAGGTGTACCAATCCTAGAATTCTCAAATTAATTTAAAAATCACAAACTTCGCGCAGCTTCGTCTTAGAGTCTGTTTATGCTTTAAAATCTTCCGTGACTTACTTGTAATATACCAATAAACAAGAAAGACCTTAAGAACTTTATTGATCACGAATTATAGGTTGAAAAATACTGATCTTAAGTTGTTTAGTGTTAAACTTAATAAGCAGTGATCCTTGGAAGTTATCAGTGTATAAAATCATAATAGTCTGACTCTCAGTTAAAACCGCCCTTTGTACAATATGATTTTTCTTAAAATTTTATTTGGTCTAATATATGGTGATATGCAAGCAGAGGCAAATGGGAGCTCAGAGAGTGGAGTTGAGGGGTGGTCATCTGTGGGACGGAGGCTTATCTCTCAGCGGAGGTGGATATAAGGGAAAGTGTTAATGCATCGGAAAAGAGAGAACTTGTTTCTAATTATTTTCTTCAGAATATGCTTGGTACTTTATGAGATTTTATTATAGGACAAATCTCAATTTATGAAACTAATTTCATGCAGCAAAAATTTTAACTGTGTGTTAAAGATGCATCTGAAGCTATGATTTCTTTGGTATAGATTCAAAAATTAAAGCATTGTTTAAAATGATAGTATTTGTGATAACAACGCTTTCCGGGTATAATAATTTTTAAGAATCTAAAATAATTATTTTTGGACATTATGTTTAATTAATGAATTAAAATCGTAATTTTACTGTTATAATTGATTCCTTACTTTCGAATTTTAATAATACTTTTTCCTTTAAAATCCTTTTTTTATTTATACTATTCTCTATTATTAATATTATTATTTTGGTTTCTAATACATATATATATATATAATGTTTTGGTCCTTATATTACATATTATTTCTTTTAGTTCTTAATTAGCTTCCTTTTAACGTAATTTTATTTTTATCCATATTTCGAATCAAAATTTATATTATTGGTCTTGAACAAAGGACTGACATTTAGTTTTTTTTTTACTGGAGACAGAAGACTGATTTTTCCTTTTTTCACGTACTATTCCACAACATTATTGCATCTTAATATCTTACTCATACTTTAATTAAGTCACCTAATAAATTAATACATTTTAATACGCATTTACATTACTAGTATGCTCAAATTTCAACTGAACTGTTATATATTAATTTTAAGAGAAATAAACTCTAACCATTGTTCAGTGCTGTCTGTAAAATGAAGTTAACGGATAAATATCCGATGTTTAAATTCGAAATAATACAGCTGAGTGTTGCTTTCCCTAACTTTTATTTGGAAGGGTTACGGATGAAGTTTTACCCTAAAGTGAACATTAGGCGTATTTTTAATTATGTGTTCTGATAAAAAAGTGTATCGTAACTTGTACTGAATGACACAATAAGCTTCCATTTCAGAAAACTAAGTTGAACATTAGCAGTATTTTTAGACTTAACAGTTAGGTTTTTTTTTTTATTATTTTATTTGAAAACATACAGACTCCCAATACACCACAGATATACAACACGGAGCTTACAGAAGTAAGTTAACTAAAATATTAAGTATTACATGCATACATAAAACGAACAAAAGCAGAGATCTGGACTTCACTAAAACAGATAAGTTCATTGGCCAAATCACTGCGAACTATTTCAAATCGTTCTGCTTACATAATCTAGGGCAGTGGTGGCGAACCTTTTTGGAGCCGCGTGCCCAAAATTCAGGCCAAACCTACTTAGTTATAGCAAAGTGCCAACACTCCAATAAAACCTGAAACTGACGGTTTAGCTTAGCAAAACAACATACACGTTTCTTAAGACTTAAAGATATAAAACAAGAAGAGAGTTATTAATTCAGAATTCAAACAACAAAAATCAGCGTTATATTTTGAAATTTTCACAGGACTAGTTTCGATGGTTTTATCGAACCATCATCCTCAGCTGCAAAATCCTCAGTTTTTGCAGTTGAGGATGATGGTTCGTTAAAACCATCGAAACTAGTCTTGTGAAAATTTGAAAATAAAACGCTGATTTTTGTTGTTTGAATTCTGAATTATTATTTGTTCGGCATGTTATTGTGTCTTAAGAAGAGAGTTTTCAACGACACAAAAAACTTTTTACTACAGGAAATAGATTGTTTTTGCGTAATTAATGGGATTTCTGCTGTTGTTTACATATTGATAATTTGTCAAACCTTGGCTCATAATTCGTTAATTTGAGCGCAACACATGCAGCCCTCAGGTTAACATGCACTTCTGTTTCTTGTGTCACATTTGATATAATTCAAAGCAGAAAACAGCTGTTTGCAGGCATAAGATGATCCAAACAAAGTAAGAATAACATCCTCAAGTGTTTGCCTACTTGCAAGATATCTTTCAAAAACATGCAGTTTTCTTTCAAATGTTTTTATATCGCAAAATATCCTTTCTGCCATTTTTCCCTAAGCCTTGCAGTTGCTTGTTAAGTACACTGAAATGTTGGTAAAATCTGTAAAAAACATACCGTTATTAAGCCAGACCATATCAGTGAGCTGTGGATAATCCTGCCTTTTTTCATTCAAAAATAGCCTAATTTCATCAGAGCAGCTTACAAATACCCTCTAAAACCCGTCTTCTGCTCAGCCATCGGACATCATTGTACATAGCAAAGTGTGTCATACTGTGCTTGAACCTAATCAAGAAGTGCTTGAAACTGCCGACAATTAAGAGCTCGAGCCATGATATAATTCACCATTTTGGTGGCATCTTTGAGAACATCGTCTAATATTTTGCAGCTGTGTCTGGCACAAAGAGCTTCTTGGTGAATTAAACAATGAAGCTGAATAACTGGAAGTTTTGGTTCTTTAACAAAGAACTGTATGAAACCAGATGTTGCTCCCAACATGCAAGGCGCACCATCGCTAATAATTGAAATTGCTTTTTTGTAGTCTTATGTCTTGTTGCAAAAAAGCTTCCATCACTGCATTTGTATATAAAATATTAACACCCACCGGCAGTTTGCAATAAATTTGAATTCATTTAACAAACATTACCTGCTTCAGCTTGGCGACTTCTGTGGCGTATTCTTTGCCATGTAACAAGTAATATGATTCGTCCAAACAGTTTAAACTCCATAAATTGGGTTAATAAATATGTATATCATTTCTATGGTGATATATGAAAATCTTATATCTAGGATTAGGCCCTATGCCAGTGGAATTATGCGATAAATAAGTGAAACGTTCAAGAACAAACAAAAACACATATTTAAATAGCATAGTATGATTTTATTCTGATTATTGATTAAGGAAGTAATATTTTAGTCGCGTGTTGGCTGATCAGGCTCTCCGTGCCAACTGTGGCACGCGTGCCATAGGTTCGCCATCACTGATTTAGGTCCATTAAATTTAGGATAGGACAAAATCAAATGTTCCACATCCTGAGGTACTCTTTTTGAATGTTCATCTAAATTGTTTGATCCTAGATTAAAACAAAACAGGTAACTTGCAAACTTACCCTGACCAGATAAAAACTGAGAAACTTTAAAATTAATAGAGAGGAAAGACTCGAATCTCATAATAATATAGTTTGTAGTGTTTCACTCTGCTGTGCTATAGTTTGGATATGAGTGGGTTTTTCTACCTTTCTTTCCATTATATTTCCCACTGAACTATGGTAATATAAAGAATCCTATAACTAACAGAATAACAGGAAACATTTATGTTTACCTTTATGTTATCAAAATGATTATTTTGATTTCCCGTCAGATATAAACATTTGATCTTATAATTTATTGCCTAGAAAAATTAAAGAAGTTATCTCAGATGGATATCTGACAAATGTAAAATTTACGCAAAAAATAAACAATAATAAAAAAATACATACAAAAGTCCACATTCAGGTTTAATCTTTACCTACGTATGAGATTTAATCTGTACCTAAGTAAGGGTCGTGTAAGTTCATTTGAGATACTTTCCATTTTGGTAGTTTCTTATTCGTGGGAGATAAGAAGACAGGAAATTATATCAGAGAGAGGTTATTGTAGCTTTCAGAAATCAGTCATGCGTCATAATAGAAACAAATGACAAACAAAAATATTTCGAGGAAATACAAAATAAGAAAAAATAAATATTAATTAGAAAATCAAAATAATTTTATCACCAAATATTATTAATATTTTATTTGTACGGTCGACATACATTTCTGAGAAAGTACTCAATGATGGCAGTTCAGTTTCAAGTATCAAATAAGAATATTTGTAATATGTGTAGGAACGTGAGAAGGTCTCATGTTCCTACACATATTACAGAAATTATTATTTTAAGAAAGTGTCCTCTTAAAATATACAAACCCTAGATATATGCATTTCTATTCTTTTTGCATCAGTGTCACATAAATTTTGCATTGCATATTTTCAAAACATAAACCGCAAAACTGTGTCCCATCATTAATATTGTGGTGTACATTACCCGGGTAAAAAAATGCATTTTTATTTAAATTTTTAAGTTGTAAATAAAATATGCATCAAAGGATAGGGAATATGCAAGAACGACTAAGATTAAATTCAAAGAATGAATCTGTTTGTAATATTCTAGCTAAATAAGAGTTCCTTGAAAGCTAGAATATCGAAGAACCGTCCAAAGAAGTCCAAAGAAGGGTTAAATTACCCTTTATTCCAATTCAACCGGAAATGAACAGATGGTTCCTTCTCGAGCTTTTAATGAGTTTTCACTTTAACTCCGCACAGAAAATATAAAACTAATCTAAAACTAGTTAAAATTAATCAGCCGAAGCTGCACAGAATCAGCTAACAGAGTTGGCTCTTATTTAAGATCGCCAGCGTATAGTAGGAAGTACGTAACAGTACATAACAGTGCGGTTCATTTGAGACTGCTATTTAATCCCGTATTCTGCTATTAAATAAAACTAAAACTCAATTAAAAATAATTTTGAAAAGCTTCCCTGCATTATGTTTGTCTTTCTTTTCTAAACATAAATTAATGTAAGGAGGAAAAAGCGAAAACATTAAAACGGCACATCAGTATTTACACTGAAGAAACCAGACATTAACCATTATTTCGAGTATATGCATCTCTGGTTCTGACACTGAGGGGACAACACCTACTGGATCCTTTTGGGTTTTTCCATTTCGTTAACGGTAATGAGAATTATTTATGGAGCCACTGCTATCGGAATATTATGTCTGAAGCAAAGAACTCGAATGGAAGTTTCAAGCCCTTTGGTCTGAAGGCAATGACGAAACATTCTAAATGTTTTGAACAAAGAATGGCAACTTCGGTTTTTGCAGTGACGTTTATTTAATCGCTCATCTGGAATTTCAATGCATGCATGGTTGAAAAATTTAAATAGCATCGTTTCAACGAGTATTTCAGCCTCTATTTGTACAATATTTAACGCTTAACACAGATCTTTCTTACGCCCCTGAACCGGCCCTGCCTTTAGAATTATAACAGCTTTATTAAACGTTTGATTTTATTAATCTTCATTCTGGAAGAACTGATACTTCGTGCTTCAGATCTTTGTTACTAAGTAAGTATTAAGGTTTCTGACTAATTATTTTTAATCAGTTGCATAGCTGCTCCATATATACTATTGCTTATATGTAAACCATACAAACGTATTTACTTAGACGGAAAACATTTTCTTTAATTCAGGAAGCTACGTTGTTCCACGTGGCAGTCGAATCGGTATTTTAATCAATATGCTTCATAAAAACCCTGACATGTTCCCTAATCCGGAAAAATTTGATCCGGAAAGATTTTCTCCAGAAAACTCGTCGGAAAGAGATGCGTTTTCCTACTTGCCCTTCTCGTGCGGAGCTAGGACTTGCTTAGGTAAGTATATCGCATTTAATTAAATCAAAATGTTACATGATCATGCTTTCATCAAATCAAATGAGCATATATATTGCTAATGTGATGATTCAAAATTAATGATTTGCTTTTTACCCACTAGATCCGAGGCTGAATTTAAGAGGAATAGAACTACTCCGTAAAGTGTTTTAAGTTAATTAACCAGTTATTATGATTTTAAGTCTTTACTATAACTTCTCCTTTTCATATTCCTCACCAACATTCAAAATACTTTTCGGTGAATTTAAGCTGTGGTTTTGATTATTTACATAAAAGCTTCAGGCAATCGCGTCTTACTGTTAATATTTTCCGCCAACTCTGCTTAAAAGTGACATTTCTGCTTTAGAGTTCTCGTTAGACTATCTTTTAAATACTCGCCCGATTCATATCTGAGCCACCTTATTTTACGTAACGTGTAGTATTAGTCTATGAATTTGATTGTCCGTTAAGTTAAATTTAAATCTCCACCAAGTGGTGGAAAGTTTCGTCTGTAGCACTAGCTGTGCCTGTTCTGTTACATTAAGTCTAAATAAAAAAGGTTAGTTCAATCTTCCCTATTTTGTGAGTTGTATAATATGCAGCAATAACTCGCTATTGCTACATTACTTTTATAGTAGAGACTTTAGCTTCCAGTTACAACAAAAACCCTACAACATTTTTTATGAAAATGCGTCTGAAAATGGGAAGTAAAATGCTTTCAAAATTCCAAAATAAATAAATACTAAACTAAATAAGTTTTTCCATAGTTAACTATATTACATTTAATATAAAAAATATTATTTTTGAGCTTAGATATTTTTTCTCTTTTCCACAGTGCTGTAGTTAAGCAACTTCATTAGTAGATAATGAGAACTGTTTCTAACAAGAAAGGCTTTATCTGGCCCTTATTCTACATACAAATCAAATAAAGAATATCACTTGAGGGAATATAATTCGTAGAAAAGCCATATCTACATCTGTCCCCAATACATGGCTGTGTTGGAGGGAGTTGAATTAAAAGCTCAATACATAGTAACATTTAAAGAAATCTATAATTCAAATGAAAAAGTTTCATTAGGAGGTCTTTCAAAAGTTCAAAAGATGTTGTAAGGATTATGTTAATTTTATTAACAGTTAAATGTTTAGTTAAACTTCCTTTCCTATCAATTCTTAACGTTAACTTACCAATTCCGACCAGAACGTAAATTTTAAATCATGTCTGAATACATAATGAGGAAGAGCGGTATTTAACCGCGAAGATCTTCGGTCTTAGAGAGAGAGATACCAGGTATTCTGGCTGCACGGGTCCGCCTTTTTAGGCAACTCTCTCGTAAGCTATTATTTACGCTCGGCCGTACTTTAGATCCTTGATAGCTTCGCAGTCTAATAACGTTAAGGGGGCCAACTCTGTTAGAATTTTGATAGCTTCGGCTATATCTCTTTAGTTAAGATTAGTTTAGTTTAATTCATAGTCTCTTAAGTTCAAGCCCAAGTGTCGGCTTTATTGTACAACTCCAAGACGGAGTTCTGTTAAATCTTATTTTGAATAATAAAGGGTCTTTTAACCCTTTCTAAGTTTATTCTCTGTTTCACGATCTCAAGCGATTATTCACTAACTAGTTCTTAAGATTCTTCTCTTTTAAATGTAACTTTGAATTACACAGTGGGGAATTCTACAAGGTAGAAAAAAATCTTCAAATTCTGTTGCCACCGAAAAAAAAGCCAGTATATAAAATGCTAGATTTGACACGTGAAATGAGAATCCGTACTTTGAGTTATATTAATACCTGGAATCGTTCATTTTTCAAATTCTTGCATACCTAATCTAGCTATCACTACATAAGATAGAGATATATTTTATTTCTAAAAATCGCAAACTTAGAAATTAGACACTGCCGTATCACAGAATACAGTCCATATTTAAGGAAAACTCGTTATGTACCAGGAGACCGAAGTAACACAAAGCGTTGCAAAATGGTCTGATAGATAGTTGGCAGAGAGGTTGTAGTAATCTTTATAACATCTTTACTGAGAAGCGAAGACGCGAGATATTTTCCCTTTGAGCACTGGCAATTTGTTCACATCAATAAAACGACCGTTTGCAGAACTGAACATTGAGAGAACAAATCATTTCAAGCAACTTAAAACATTCGCTTATCCCATCTGTTGCGAATTGTGCCAGATTATATGCTCTTCCCAAAATTCATAAAAGTGGTATTCCTTTCCGCCCTATTGTATCAAATTTAGGTACTGCCTCGTATCCATTAGCTAAATATTTAGTTTCTAGATTTTCCACTCTATTAGACAATAACATTTACACCATAAAAAATTCAATAGAGTTTGTAAAAAAGGTTAAAAACATTTCTCCTCGTAATTTACTCATGGTTTCTTTTGATGTAAAATCATTATTCACCAATGTCCCAGTGGAGGGTGCATTAAGATGTCTAGAAACCAGACTTCGCGAATTTCATTTCTCTTGCATCGAAATTGATGAGCTAATTTCTCTCACTCAACTCTGTTTGAAACAAACACATTTTGTTTTCCAAAATAAATATTACAAAGCAAACTGAGGGATTAGCCATGGGAAGCCCCCTCAGTCCCATCCTGGCTGATATCTACATGCATTATTATGAATCAAAATGTTTGAAACTTTAAACTTCCCGGCATGGTTCCGCTACGTAGACGATACTTTTACCCTGTTTGAAGGTAATAAAGATGATTTAAATAAGTTCTTTCAACAATGAATTCTATTGATCCTGCTATTCAGTTCACTTTTGAACTTGAGACTTGCAATTCTCTTCCGTTTCTCGACATTCTGGTCACACGTAACACATCCAACTTCAGTACTACAGTTTACCGTAAACCTTCATCGGTTTGCCTTCCACCACACTTTAAATCATGTCATCCGACTAAACAAAAGTTAGCTTCATTTTATTCCTATGTTTTCCGTGCTCTTCAAGTTTGCTCCTCCAAACTAGCCCTTGATGAAGAACTAAATTATTTAAAAGCAATAGCTATTGACAGGGGCTTTTCACCCAACATTATTAATCAAGCAGTTAAAAAATTCTCATCTCAACACACTAAAAGCCACACTCTTATTTTAGGAGATTATAAAAATTCTGTTGTCATTCCCTTCTTTCCATCAATTAGCTATAAAGTTGCACATATTTTGCAGAAATTTAACTTTCGGGTTTTTTCTCCCATCAATAAAATTCCAACTTCTATACTCAAGGACCCCATTCCGGATATGAATTCCTGGGGTATTTATAGGATTCCTTGCCAGTGTGGTTTAATTTACATTGGCCAAACTAAGAGAGCCTTAAAATTTCGCGTCAAAGAACATGAGGCATATGTTAGAAAAAAGGAAACACAGAAGTCTTCTGTTGCTCAACATTGTTGGTCCGAAAATCACACTTTCAATTTTTCTGCTGCCAAAATTATTCAAAAAACATCTTCCATTGGAGAACTGGATTTTCTAGAGGCATTTCACATTCATAAAAATCTTTCTGTTCTAGTTAACGATCCTAATTCCAATCCAAATTTGCCTTCGGCTTTTAGAGAAATTATGTTTTAGTTCTGGTTTCGCCAACAGATGGCGCCACTTGCTTATTCTTGTCCAGGCTTTCTTATCTTATCTAAACATTATTTCCTATCTTGTTCATTTGCGGTTTTGCAGCTGAAGATGATGGTTCGGTAAAACCATCGAAACTAGTCCTGTGAAAATTTTGTAAATAACGCTGATTTTTGTTGTTTGACTTCTGAATTAGTATTTATTCGGCGTGTTATTGTGTCTTAATTATAGAAGCCCCAAACAGGCTTACATTTTGCTTTCTTTTTTGCACGTGGTGTGGCCGCCATTTTGTGATTGTAGGAGTTTCGGTGAGTACATTTTTGCAATTTTCAAGTTATGTTTATGTTTTGTATATTTGGGTATTGTGCTTTGCTTGTCTGATTTCATGCATTTTGCTTACAAACTTTTGTTTTCTATTCATTTCAGTGAGGGATTTTTCTGCTATTTTGTGTGTGTACTTTATTATTGCTCAGTTAATTTAGTTTGATTTTCTGCATTGTTTATCATGCCTTCATCCGTTAATCGTTTCACTAAATTACGCCTGAAACGGCAAAAATTCCTGAATCATCTTGACTTTTTACTTAAATGTAAATGTAAAAAATTGATCCCCAATTTTATTCAAATCAAATCTAATCAAAAACCTTCGAGTCGCGTTTCAAGAATTCTGTTAAATTGCAAACTTGCCTTACTTCGGTCCGTGATAAGGGATACACGTCAACAATTGTCCAAAATTGAACATGAACTCTATAAGCTTCATCTGGAACTCGCTAAAACATATCCAAAATTCACTGCCCTTGAACAAAAGTCTTGGTCTAGAACGGAGAATGCAGTTAACCGTCATAAAAACACCCTTGCAGTTAAATTCGAAAAACTTCTTTTACAGTCTTCCAGTTCAAGTAGTTCAAAAAATCTTCCCATTGTAAACATCAAGCCAATAGTTAATATTTCTAATGTTAGTCTTTCAGAAGAACAAGAGAGAATTCTAAAATATAATTTTAACTTCTCACAAACCTGTAAACCCTCGATTCCAAAGATTTTGGCTCCTATCGAAAAAGCTTTCAAGTTCAGTAAAGTTTCAGATTCACAGAAAGAAATGATTAGGCATCTTATCGCTCATAATGTGAAATTCAATAATAAACCTTTGAAACCAAATCTAACTGCGAGAGAAAGAGCTACAATGCGCGAAGATTCATTCTAACCCGGATATATTGTCATTTCAAAGGCCGACAAAGGTGGCCAGATAGTCGTCATGGATAAGAACACTTACATCGATGGTGTCACTAAACTCTTAAACGAAGGACCATATAATCCGATCCCTAAAGATCCTTCACCTTCGGACTTATCCAAAATAAAAACTGCGATCAAATCTTCGCAAATCATTTCAAGCAACTTAAAACATTCGCTTTTCCCAAAATTCATAAAAGTGGTATTC